TCCAGAGCTCCCTGTGTGACTGGTGCATGACTTGGCAAAACTAATCTCAGCCTGTGATCCAGACATTCTCATCATCTGTTACAAGACGAGGATTAATTTGCCATAATGTGTCGCATCAACATGCTTTGACCGAGTGTTTTGTCAAGTTGATTTGCCCCTGAACAGGTGATTCTGACCCAGACTTAGCTTACATGTATTGGTGCAATTCATGTCATTCATACCCGCACACAGTCTAACAGCAGCAGAGCAATGAGACAAGGTTTATAATTGAGGTACATAACTTTCTCATCCCAGAAGTATTATGTATCAGTCATGGTGTACATATTTGGCTGTTCTGTATTTTGCTTTCGTTAAGTGAGCCAGTAAGATATATAATAACAAATATATATAGTATATTGAACTTTGTCTAGGAGTATAAAATAGTGACGTCTTTGTCTACTACACTGCATTAACATTCAAGCTCGATAAACCGACTTTGCAGGGATAGACTTGCAGAACCACAGACGCTAACAAGAAGAAATAATAGATCCTTTTAAGCACTGACGGATACTGATAGGCAATTCAGAGTTTCAGCCATCACAGCCCTCTCTGAAAGGCCCTGCACTGAGAATATCATTTGCTGATTATCCTTCATTTGTTGTTTCACTTTGCAGAATAATTTTTGTGCAGACTTTGACACCAGAAAGCAGTTTTCACATTCATCTGCTGGAGGGGGAAAGTTTCTCACCTTAAAATGAGTGTCACATCATGAGTTTGTGGTAACACAACTAGTTTGGGCAAGCAAAGTCCAATATGTAGCTAGAAGCCTCCGGTGCACATACACTGATGATGGAGCTGATTTTTTAAATATAGTTCAATATAGAATATTTGCACACAGCGCACCACATACTCAAAAGAGTTTAGGTACAAACGACCAATCCATTCCAGATACAGATCTGTCTTAAAACCATACCATTCAACAGTAGGGCTGTACCTAAAGATTATTTTCTTTATTAGTTACTGTAATTGCAGCTTATTTCACTTGATTTGTTTGTTTTATAAAATATAGGAACAATATTAAAAGGTGTAAAAATGTTTATCCTAGTTTATTCAATTCTAATGGGATGTCTTTAAATGTCCCTTTAGTCAGTCCAAACCCAAATATATTCTGTTTAAATTGATGTAAAACATAAAATGCGGATATCTCCATATTTTAGAAGCTAGAAGCAGCATTTTCTGACACTTTTGCATACAAAATTGCTTAATTGAAAAACATCAAAACTGTTGGCTTGAGCATTAGTAACAAACGTGTACAATGTACTTATATGAGCAATTAAAGCTAACACAATTCAAACAACACTGACAGCATCTGGTCAGTGCTTAAACCTAAATTACTTACTCACTTCCTTACCTACTCCCTTCCTTCCTTTCTTCCTTCTATCCTTCCTTTCTCAATCAATCACTCTCTCACTCTCTCTCTCTCTCTCTCACTCACTCGCTCACTCGCTCACTCACTCACTCACTCACTCACTCACTCACTCACTCACTCACTCACTCACTCACAGTCTAGGATGCCACAATAGCACTTGAACCAGTTCCATTAGACGCAGCCCTCGGGATGGTGGATCCTTACCTGTTAATACCTCTATCTGCATGAGGCAGGTAGCGGGCTGACGCTGACATGCTGGGCATTTGCTTGTGCAGTGAAACCCCAGCTGTGACACTCATTAAGTGATTCAGTCAAGCCTGAAACAAGGACACAGGTCAATGAATGTGACTAGTGACTTGCTGGACATGACAGCATGGTCATATTGTGAATGACAGGGCATTCAGTATGGGTCAAACTCATTTGAAATGAGCAATTAGCACAAGAAATTGTCTTCATTATCCAAAATATTATTTGTTTATTTAAAAAAACCTTTTTTATGTAATGAATCCTTGTTGTGCAGTTACATTTTCTTGCGAGTGGTCTCATCTCATGGCATGTTCTGATTAAAATGTAATATTTATAAAAATGTGCATTTCATCAATGCATTTACCATTCCATAAAAATAAAGTGTATTGTGTTCATCTATCATGATCGTATTTGAATGTAGGGTGGTTTTCTGCACCAGAATGGTAGTATTCATGTTTATATGAGAGTACGCACTTCAATTTCAAGAGAAAACAAAAACAATATATCCTAAGATGGAGCCTTATTACTTCCTGCCAACTAAGTTATTTACCTCCACCACCAAATTAAATAGATGGATGGAAAGAGATGAGGAGACAGATAAACCGGCAAATGAATGAGGGTTGCTGTGCTGCTTTATGGTGCTGCCGTTATTCATCTATTTAGCATCTTTCCTGAGCTGTCAGTCAGTTTTTTCACAACTCTCCTCCTTCACCAAACAACACTTGGCAGCTTGATGTCCTGCCTGAGCCAAACTGTTTGTTTTTCAGAGATTGTACTCCGTGGGACAAATCCTGTTCTTGTAAGAGGATAGAGCGAAGGAGGGAGCGATTGAATGTCAGACAATTGACATTATTTTGATAACTGCAAACCTTTTGAAATTAGAGGGAAGTTGGTGTTGGGCATACTGTACATGTATGTGTGTGTGTGTGTGTTTACCTTATGTCTTAGGGTGCTTTGTGTGTTTGAGCTGTGAGAGAGTGAGAGACACTGGATGAGGATGAATTAAACTCATCTCTTTCTCTTCATCTCTGAATGTGGAGGGATATTTTTAACATGTGTGCTTTGTCAGCCTCCTCGTTATCTGCCAACCTGAATCTGTTGTTTGTTGACTGACTGCACAAGCATCATTACACAATATTTCTGTAGCTTTATATTACAGCCACATAACAGCCAAATCGGATGGATTTTGAGTGCTTAATAATTGTGCAGTTCGCCAAACCTCTGACTGAGCGTATTAGGGTGTGCTGGTTCTTATCTCTTATCACTTCATCCAATAGGAGTAGATCGTTAATAAGGACATGTTGTACTTAAACAATATTAAAAAGCAAACTTGAAATATACTCCATAATGTAATAACAATGTTGCCATCATTCTGTGTTTTCTGTGTTTGCTGAATTCTCCAGCAAGGGCAGTGTGTTTTGTTCTGAATAAAGCAGGGAGAAGACTCACTCTGGCTCAGTGGAGCTTATCTTCAGATGGCCTTGGAAAAGAAAGCCTGTGTTTTAGAACATTTTGAGACAAAGGCAAATGATTTTCTTTGTTGCACATAATAACAGGCTGACAAAGTGTACGCCTACTGTCAATCACTGAAGAAACATGCATGCACACCCTCAAAAACACCCCACTATGCCCACACCATATACATATACCTCTGAGCACAAACACTGACAAAAAAACAAGATTTTCAGATACACAGGTGAGAGGCAACAATGCAATGACAGTGCACAACAGAAGTGCAGCAGTAATTATCATCCGTCTATCTGAGCAAAGCAATCTGCATATCAAGTGCTGTTCTTCCAGATCCATTCAAGGGTAAATGGAAAGGAGTGTATAATTGCATCACAACACAGAGGAGACAATTGCATTTTCTTTAAAGACTGAAATCAAAGGTGTAGAGAAGCTAATACTCTTCACTGGTCCACTGCAAAGCAATTTGTTCTGGAATAGCGTGAGACCATTTGTATTTGCAGCCAATGGCATCATGGTTTTTGAATCACTTTAATAAAGTATTTGTTGAATCTTCACTTTAGTAAGTCATTTTCTTCCACTGAAGATCAATTTAAAAACCTTCGCTAAGAGGCCAGAGCTGTTGTTTTCAACACTAGCGTTGGCACTGTTAACAGAGAGAAGGGGAAGCAATCATGTTTTATCTCTGCATGAACATTCAAAAGAAACAAAATAGGTAGTTGAATGGATATGACTTATAAACACAGTGCAGGGGTTATTTCATGATATAAAGGGCTCTTTGTCTCAGTATAAACAGTGTTTCTTATACGATAACCATCAAACTATCAAAGAGCATCTAGGTGACTCAGGGGTGGCCAGTGCCCACACCTTGAATGAAGTGGTGAAACAATACTTATCATATGCCTCCGCACTGCTACTACACATGTATTCTGCATAAGTTGCTCAATATTGTAAGAATGAGAATGATATGCCACTGTTTGAGCAGGATTTTACATCTAATGCTTCAACACTTTTATAAAAGTAAAAAACAATCTCATGTAGGAAGGTAAGCTTTGCTCCAACATTAAAAACAGTTTTGGTCATATATAAACTTATTTTGTCTTGATAGCAGCTTTGGAAAGTATCATGGGAAATGATATTAGCTGGCACTTTGCCATCTGTTAGGTTTGAGTGAACTGAAATCTCTTATCTCATTCTGTTGTCATGTAGCTCTGCCACCCTGCTCGCCCACCCAACTACCCCCTGGACCTACTCTGGGAATCGAACAGTTTCACCAGAGACCTGCAGTCAGAGTTTAGCTGCCTCTGCTTCGACGCCATATTAAATAAAAGTACTTTACTTCTTGTTGTTTCTATAGCAACCGTTCCCACTCATGTCTTCAGGATACTGTGCAATGCGGGAAGTGAAGATGAGCTGCAATGACAATCATACCTGAGCATTTGGATTTAATCATACATTTAAGTATGTCCATGACAAAATTACAAAACAGTCAAGTTTGAATCTTATTGTCTTTGAGAAGCCTGTGAAACAAAGTTTAGACCATGAGGTTAAAATGAAAAGAACAAAAGATAATCATACTAGCAAAACAATAGGCTGTTCCCTAATTGGAAGAGCGGTAGCAACATTGTTGAACACTCAATATATCAACTTAATAAACAAGCCACATACCCACAAAGTGGTTCACATGAATAAAGATTGAATTTAATGAACACAGTCATGCAAACATTAGCTTCATAGAAACTATTCAGTGCATCTGCTGTGTAGGTGTACTGTCTCCTTACTTTGTTGAAGTTAATTCTAAGTCTTTTTTCCTCCCTATACCTTTTTGTCTCTTTCTCCTTTCTGAAAATATTTCTGTTTTGTTCTCTATCTCTTCCAGGTTTTAATAAGAGACAGAGGTGATGTGATGGCAGCGCTTGCAGGCAGGACAGATCTGTCTGCTGCACACTAAACCAACTGGATGCAACACGTTAGAGTCCTTAGACAGGTAGGCATACCTTTGGAAGTCCGTTGGCTTTATAAGCACATTTTGAATATTTTTCCCTCCACGTTGGCATGCTGTCTTCTGTATGAAGTGCAGAAAGCAAAATCCTTGACTCGGATTTAAAGAAGCAATAACAGTACAATTCTTGCAGTCATTTTATGGCAATTAAGTGATGAAAATTCTATGCCAGATTCAAACAAGAATATACACGGCAGTGAAACTTCTTTTTCACTTCAAATGATTTTGCTCGTCATCTGAAAATGATGTTTGACATTCTCCCTAAGCTCCCTTTATATCTAATGCACTTTTCTCTTCTGCTTGCAGAATGGATTTTCCCAATTACACTGAAGGGGTGTTTGCCACAAGCAGCAGTGGTAATGACTCCCTGGAGGCCACTAAACCCCCTCCTAGTAAGATCCTGCTAACGCTTACCCTGTCTGTAGTGGCCGTCCTGACTACATTCTTCAACTGCCTGGTGATCACAGCTATCGCAGTCACACGCAAGTTGCACCACCCGGCCAACTACCTCATCTGCTCATTAGCAGTGACCGACCTGCTGGTGGCTGTGCTGGTCATGCCCTTCAGTATTATGTACATCCAGAAAGAGACCTGGGGCATGGGCCAGGTGGTGTGTACCATCTGGTTAAGTGTGGATATCACTTGTTGCACATGCTCCATCCTGCACCTTGCTGCCATCGCCATCGACCGATACAGGGCCATTACAGATGCAGTGGAGTATTCACGCAAACGCACGGGGGCCAGGGCTGGGGCGATGGTGGCATTGGTGTGGTTCCTGTCCATCCTCATCTCACTTCCTCCTCTAATCTGGCGGCACTACAGCGGGGATGCCGAGCAGGTAGACCAGTGCATCATGATGCACCATCACATGGCCTTCACCTTATACTCTACCCTTGGAGCGTTCTACATCCCTCTGATGCTCATACTCATCCTCTACTACAAGATATACCGTGCCGCTCAGACCCTGTATATGCGCAGGGAGGCCAGCCGGGCCAGCCGCTATTCAAGTGTGACCAATGGGAGCATGATCCCCTCGTCCTACCCTGCTGGAGATGGCAACGAGGATAGGGGAGCCCAAAGTCCGGAGCCCATAAGCCCTCCAGAAAAGTCTTTCTCTGAACCCTCAACTGAGGAGCCTCCACGTGAACGGGTGCGTAAATCTAAGGCTTTCCAGGGCAAGTCGCGCCGGCATGAGTCACGTAGTGAGTCCCGCAGTGAGTCACGTCGGAGCCAGTTTTACCAAGGTCCACGGATCTCAGGCTCACGGGAGCGCAAAGCAGCATCAACGTTGGGGTTGATAATAGGGGCATTCGTCATCTGTTGGCTGCCATTTTTTGTCAAGGAGGTGATTGTCAACACCTGCAGTGAGTGCAGTACTTCGATGGAGATGGCTGACTTCCTGACGTGGTTGGGCTACGTCAACTCGCTAATCAATCCCCTCATCTACACTATCTTTAATGAAGACTTCAAAAAAGCTTTCCAGAGACTTATTAGGTGCAGTCATTACCTCTGATGGTAACAATTGCACATGATCACACCCATACACCCCAACACATGCCCATGAAACAAACTATGGAGATCGGAGAGAACTGACCAAATACTGACTGAATTTACCTGAGAGACACTAAGGATGACCTCCATTTCCAGAACATCTGCCATGCGCTCCAACAGCCAGCATGGCACCAGCTCAGCCATGAGCTTGCAGCAAAGTTCCATATTGAAGTCCAAGTCCTGCTATTAATGGAAATGCTTTCATTGATCTTAATTGTTGTGATGGAAAGGACAGTGACATGTTGTTTTTTTGAAAATGGGCCATTGCTGACCTTTTTGAGGGCTGGGTTCTGATCATTAGTGATCAGCCTCATTAACAGGCCTTGAGATAGCTGGCCATTACTGCTTTTTCATCTAATGACCTCCCTTCTATCTCGTCCAAGCTGCCGGCTAACATGTGTAAAATACCACAGCATACCAATTTGTGATTTCATGTGGCCATGGCGTTTCAGAGGGTGACCTTTATCCGATTGACTGTCGCAATGATTATTAACATTGTTGTGATATGTACTCAGAAAACTCTCCCAACAAATAAGTTATACATTTGTAGATTTTTAAAGTTTATGTCTGTTATTGGCAAATGATACCCGCTTGATTCACTAGGCCATCTGATAGCAAAGGGTTATCAGCTGGCTTTCATAGATTTCAGAATGCTGAACTAAACAAACCATGTTTTAAAGGTTTAGGGTGAACAGCTAAGAATGCCCTTAATGTGAATAAACTGTTTTATGATCCTGGACCAAATGATACTAATATAAGCACTTTCTGAATTATACAACAAAGAATATTTGGGGACCAAAATAAAAATGAGCTTTCTTCAACTTTCACAACAAAATGTTTTTCGTAGATGGTTTAAGGTATTGGTGTAAATGTTTTTTAAGACACTGCCACTTTATTTGATGTTTTGCACACTTTTTAATTTCCTTTATGCTATTTTGTGGGGTAATTATTCATTCATTTTTCACAAGTATCTCTTTTGGAGCTATTAAACACCCCTTCTCATCTCACTCCCACCATAGGCAGCGTTATAGGTCAATGAATGTGAGAACCACCGGTGCAGAAATCCTCATTACATTAATCCCACTCGAGTACTTGGAAAATAACTACTATTTCTTTACTGCCTGCAAGAGGGCACACGATAAATTGATGGAAATACTGTGGATGAGTCATGTGTGAGGGTGTACTGAATGCCAGGAAGATAATAGAAAGTGTGTCATACATGTACATACATCTCATACAGTATGACCAGTATTTGTATACTGTTTCTTTCTTTGTCTCTCACTGTCTTAATCAATAATAAAAAGCCCACATATGAATGATGTTCCCCTGTTATTCTTATAGATATATTTCTGGATTTGGTACATGAGTGATACAGTATATGCATGGATTGAATGAATTAATGAAAACATGAGGTTTAGGGTCATACTCTTGGAGCAAGGGTTATCGCAGGACCAAACATAAAGAAATAAAACAAACATTAAATATTCCAACATCAGCCTGATCACACACAATTCAATACATATTATTCTTTATAACGTTTTTGCTTACACACATGCACCCTATAAATGAATAGGTCGAGTCAAATCCTGTGCTAGACCGCTTTTAGGGGAATTAATGTTGTAGCTGAATAATAATTTTTATGTGGGAATGAATGATGATCACATACTGATCAGGGCTGATGATATACTGCAAACCAACATTTCAGTTAGCTGATTGTTAGAGTAAACTAGCTAAGTAAATGTGAAGGGATGTTTCCATATCTCTGTGTTATGGCGCCCCATTGTGGCTGCTGGAAACAGTGCAGCCTTTTTGTAGCTGCTTTAGCATAAAATGTATTAATCTGGAAATGTTGTCTAATGTAGCCTCATCAATCAACATCATCAAAACAAATTACATTTATAAAATAGAAAGTCTGCATTTATGTGCAATTATTACTTCTGTCAACATTTTCAGGAAAAATATATTCTTGCTTATTATAAAACGTACACACAAATATTCTATAAGAGAACAACAAACCAGAAACTAAATCTATATAAAATACAACAATTTTGGCTATTCGTGTAAAAATGCCTCATAAAATTGGGCTTTAAAATTAAGGCGAAAGGCCTGTTTCATGGAGAAGAAAATATCTAGAACATAGTCAAACTTTCATCTCTTCTAAATCGTTTGTTCAAGATTAGACACAATTGTTCACCAAAATACTTGGGTATGTAAATTCTAACCACCTTACTTATAGAAAATAAAAGTGAAATATGTATTTGATCAGTGTGAAATGACTAGACAGGGCATTTAAATGAATAGTAAATGTCAATTAAGACCTCTGAAAGTTTAACTGCTATCCTATCCCATTAAAACATACTTACCCAAGTTTGCTCATTGGTCGTGTCTCGTTAATTTGGACTTAATCGTGATAGCGCCATAACAGTCTGAAGTGTGAACGAAAAACATACATTAAAAAAATATTGTGTTACAAATGGACAGCATCACCCTGTGTTGACTTACCTCAAACAAGTAGCCTATCTGTGTTCAATAAAATCAAGCAAGTTTCTCGTCTCAGTAAGTTGATGCTTATGGCCAAAACACATGAGCTCAAAGTTCAATAAAGTAACAAAGATATTCTGAAGAAAATATATATGGGGCCCGTAGCTCACACATGCGCTCTAACTTGTCAGGTCCCTACCATGTATGTATAATGCAGCTAAGTCCTTCGTTGAAAGTATTTTCACTTTCTAAACGCTGCAGAAAACTCCGCTTGTCATGTTAATATTCCCAAAAATATTTACCAATGTTTAAATCTGCATTTAACGTGGTTTAAGAGTATTGTTTACTCTTTACAACAACAAAAACTTCATCTGTACGTATTTATGACTGGGTTGCCAGGTTGCAGATGCTTTTGTCGTGAGCAGATAGGAGGATGCTACCTTACAAACCTGGCAACTTGGACTATGCGCTGGATACAGCAGACAGTATGGCGGAATGCGAGAGTGATTTGGAAACAGAAGGGCTTGAATTAGCTCTGGACACATTGTGTGGAAGACACTGCAGCAACCAGTTGTCTCTGAAGAGCAAAGACTATTGCTCTGAGTTTTGTGAGGTGAGTTAAACTCAATTGTGTTAAATGGTCTCCATAGTCTGCGTCTGTTTATTGCTAACGCTAACTAGCTATGCTAGCTAACATTAGCCCCCAAAGTAGCTCTGTTTATTGTGTAGCTAAGTTGTGTTTCTAAGACTGTTATATAGCCCGCCCGAAACACACAGAACTGATTACCTAAGTATAGATACATATATACTGTGCTACTGGAAAGGTAACTCCATATGGTTCCCATGTTTCTCGAGTTATCTGCCTGCATTTGTTAATGCTTAGCTTCATAGCTAACGCAGTCAGAGCAGAGCGTATCTATGTTTCCAGACTCCTATGTTCCCCACTTTAATATCTTCATGATTTGACACATTAAAAAGACCTTTCTAATGTTGTTATGTTCTGAACGATCTACATTTCTCTGAGTCAAACGTTGAATTCACCAACCATAAGCCTGACAGTCATGTATCAACAGTAAACTTAGTTTAAACACTATTTAAAATCAAATGTACGCCTTGTTAAAGTCATGCGTTTGTCAGGTTTTAGCCTTGCTTATACACTGATCTTATCCAAATATCTCATATGATTGGCCGATATTTCCTAGGGGTTTATCTAAGATCGAGATGTCAGAGTTATAGCTTGTTGACTTAACTGCAAAACGTTAACATATTTCACACATGTTGTACACAAGGATAATTATATTTCAATTGACAATAATTCTTACTACTGCTTTGGTATGGATACAATATTGAATACGTATTCTATGTATAACACGGTATATATTGTCATGATTCATTCCATATATTGAACCTCCTTGCTTTGTTATTAGACAGATACCTTTAATGTACCACACACCCAAGTGACTATCTGTAATTCATTTCTACAGCTTTCTCCTTGGTTAAACAAATAAGACCAACATAGAACCTATTGGATTTTTGGCACTTTAAGAATGTCATACTTTAAAATAATTGAAATGAAATGTGGATTGTTCACTACTATGTCATGCACTCAAAGCCTTGCTGTCATAATCAACTAAAGCTACAATAGATTATAATACATGAAGTGCATAATGTTTCATATTTCTACATTTCTGTCTTCTTTATGCACAGTTGGTTGAGGAGTACACAGGGCAATGGCAGGTTCCTCTCCCTCAGCTGAAGGTGCTGCGGACCGCACTCTGCAGCTTCACCAAAGCCACTGCTGCCTTCCCTGAGGACTGTCAGCACGTCCACTATGTTCTCAGCAGTATGGCCTTGTAAGTACTGTGTTACATGTAAGAGTGGCAAACATGCATACTGGGGAATTCTTAGCCTACACTTTGAATATGCATACCCGTAATCTAAAAACTAGACCATGTACTCTTGTGAACATGGCAACCTTGTTTGCTAGCAAAATGCTGGACCATACCTTTTTAAATACATTGTCCCAGGGCTAAAGTATACTAATGTTATGTTTTCTGTCTATTTTGGCAAACCAGTAGAAACCTAATAGCATTTTGCTTGGATCCGCTGTTAGTAGTGTAACATCAATGTTGTCGTCATTTACTCTGTGACAGTAGCACTTGCATAGAACACAACTGCTAAGGGTTTTGTAATTATCTGACATGTTCCTCTCATTGTCTTGCAGGAGCTTTTTTGAACTGATGCTGTTTTTCAGCAAAGAAGAATTTGTGGAAGAGCCTTTAAAAGACATCCTTGACTGCTTTCAGGTGAAAAAACTGTTTCAATACCTTGTTTTCTAATTCCCACAACACTTTTTATAATACCTAGATTCATATCTACCATTTGTTAATTCATTAAAAGTTGCCAGCACCTATCCAACAGCCAATTTTACCCCCCTGTTTTAAAATAAAACAACGTCTACCTCAGGGTTTGCTACTGATAGTCTAGTTGTAACTTTGATTTTTTTTAGTATGGTTTTTGTGTTTAACGTGTCATTTTACCTCTCTTTGCAGCAGTGCCACTGTCAGCTCCTGAGGCACAGGAACAGCTACCTTCAGCATGTAAAGCTCATCATCAAAGCCGGAGGCCCGTGGGAAAACCCAGTGCTGCAAGGAATCCTGAAGGAGGCCCACTTTCCACCAAAACAGGGTGGGCTCCTGTCCGTTTTGAATAGCTAATATAGCATACACACAGATAACACTGCATTATCAAGGAGGTCAGCCCACTCCTGTGAGCAGACTTACCGATGTTGTTTGATCAACAAGCATCATGGGTTTAATGGAGAGTACAGGTAGAAGAGGAGAGGTGAGCTAACAGCTTTGTGGAGTAGCAGTGCTGATTGACAGGGGGCGTGAGATGTTGTGTTATAGACTCTCCTTCCTGTCAATCATTCTCTATGAGATAAACTCACTTACTTTCAAAAGTCTAGTTTTAGCAAAGCTAGTAATTGATGATAAGCTGTTTATTAAAATGTTGTTTGTTTCATATTTAACAAATAATATTCCTAAGACTTTACGGTATATTACAACAACTTTGCCAGTATAGAATTCTAACAACACCAACATGACCCTAAGCAAACACCTAAATGTCATTTGTCACATATCATTGTGATTTTCGTCCAATGCAGTTGAGGACTACTTAAGCTCAGAGTTGGCAGTATTCTTTGAGCTGCGGATTCGCTACCTGCTGGCCTGTGAACGAATGCAAGAGGCCATGGCTCTGGCTAAAAGCTGCCTGGAAAATTTCGAGGCTGGAAAGCATCTGTACTTCCATCAGGCCTACCTGACCTGCCTCTACAAGGCCTCACTGCACGAGCACCTTCACAAGGAGGTAAGAGACAGGAAGTCATAATGGGATTTAGAACAAAGCGCATCGCAAGATCTCTAATAGTTGGACTATGATAGTATTAAATAATCTGTTATATATATATATAAATCAACCAGTAATAATCTGACAAATAATTAAAACCCAACAAATATTTATGATGCTGTATAAAAATAATATGTGTTAACATTGTGTGATTTAGGTTGTATCCATAGTTGTTTGTAATTCGTTTTGAATAAGTTTGCATTTGGTGTATTTTTCTAAGCATGTGCTTCTACATATTCCTCTTCAGATGGCGGAGATAGATGGCCGCGATGCAGTGGAGATCATCTGCAACACAGAGAGCATGGAGAAAGACGAGCTCCTGTTGTCGCTGTGTAAAGCTTTCCTTACCCAGCAGCTACACAATGGAGACATGTACTACATCTGGTAAGAATGATTTTTAATACATCACTCCAGTTTTATAGTCAAGTCACCAATTCACGAGTCCAAGTCACTCTCGAGTCACCACTCTTCGAGTCCGAGTCCAAGTCTGAGTCACCCAAGGAGTGTCCGAGTCGAGTCCGAGTCATCATTACCTGTGTTCGAGTCCGAGTCACCTAAGAAGAGTCCAAGTCAAGTCCGAGTCACAAGTCTTCATGTATTAATCTTCGTGGATATATGTGTTGTAATGTAGCTGCTCCTCTACATTGCTTTTATCCTGTCATGTTATACTAATGTGTCTATTGAACTGCTGTGAAGCCAGTTTGGCTACAATTCTTGTAATAGGTGCTATACAAATATAAAGCTTATTACTAATATTAATATTATTATTATTATTATTGTAAATGACCTATAATATGTCTAACTATATTTAAAATGAGTTACCTTTTAGAGAAGTGATTATATTTGTATGCCAATATTTTCCTATGGTAAAGTTTTCGTTTTGCACTTTTATTTTGATAGTAATAAGATCGGGACTCTTATTTTGAAGGAACTTTTACCGGTTAAATCGGTTTACTGATGAAGATTAAGCCCCAGAAAGCACATGGCTACTTAGCATGCAAAATGAGTCATTCTGCATGTTAAGTAGCCATGTGCTTTCGTGTTATGGCTGAATCTTTATTTATTGATTAGATCATGTTACTCTGATGATAGTGTTCAAGACAGCCTATATGTCTGAACTCGATGTTTAGAGTAATGTGTTACTGAGCCTTCTCTTCAATTGTTTCCACATAACGAGCATTTTGCGCTGCTCTTTTCCAATGTGGAAGCAGAATGTGTGAAAGCATACAGCACGATGCGGGGTGTGTCTCTAGACATCTCTAGACTGGAATAGCGGGGCCCAGTACGTGAACTCGCCTCGCAGGTGCACACGCCAGGATAGAGGACATCAGACTCCAGAGAAAACTTGCTCGAGTCCGAGTCCAAGTCGGAGCGTCAATGTACAAGTCGAGTCCGAGTCATCGTGGGGGAAAAATTCACGAGTCCGAGTCCCAGTCGCGTCAATCAGTGCACGAGTCCGAGTCGAGTCACGAGTCCCGAAAATCGACACTGGAGTCCGACTCGAGTCCAGGACTCCATCTCTGCATCACTCTAACACCGGACTATGATTATGATACACTTCTGTCATTTCCCCAGAGTTTATGATACATCCTGTAGTAAGGGGAGCTGGTGTCAGGGTGCACAGTTTGACATTTTTGATTGGTTCAGTTACCCCTGTTTGATTGCTGAAATAGGAATAGCTAGGAAAAGAGTTTGCTTAATTAAAATATAACTGATATATTTTGCTCGCCATGCGCTTCCTCCTGCAGGGACCTGGTGTTCATCTGGAGCAGGTTGCATCTCCGGGCCCATCCCTCCAGACATGGCTTTCTGGCTGAGTGCTTGCAGTTAGCTTCTTCCGCTACTAACGTCAGAGCCATCTTCCCCTTCATCAAACTGGTCACAACAGAGGTGAGACTCACATCATCACCTTTTACCATGTTGTGTTTCTCAGGACAAACGAAAAGAAAAAATGTAGCATCTTCCGTTTTCTGTAATTAAGTCGAAATGAAAAAGCCTTAATCATTTGATGCTCTTATCTACCATTTCATCTTGTTCAACCACTCTTTTGCCTTTGGATAGCTGGGAGTGGAAAGCGTCCAGGTGTGTGTGGAGCTTTGTGCCAGGGCCCTGCGGCTGGCTGACATGCAGGCTGACAGTGTGACCCGCTCTCTTGCTTGCAAGACCATCGCCTTCCTGCTGCCTCACGACCTGGAGATCTGTCGAGCGTGCGCCCTGCTGGTGTTCTGCCAGGAGCGCAGCCTGGAAGCTTACCGAACTGTCTGCCTGCTTTACAATCATCCCGACCAGGAGCCGCATCCCCAAAACAGCCCGGTCCGGACCAGCGTGCGATTCCATATTCTGCAGGTCAGAGGAAGATATATGATCTGCATGTATAGTTATTTTTTATATATAGCATTATAATCTGTGCCTAAAAATGCTGCATCTTTCTTTTCCAGATGCTCAAGGCGCGCCTGTGTTTCGACCCCGAGTTTTGGAACCTCCTGACCATCAGGACTCATTGCTTGGAGTTGATAAGTGACAACGTCATGAAGGCTGCTGTTCTCAGTGAGATGAAGGAGGAAGAAGAGAAGGAAAACAGGGAAGAAGAGTTCATAAATAAGTGTATAAACCAATCATGCAGTCCAGGTTTAAATCCCTGTCGGTGCACTGAGGCCGCAGAGACTGCTGTTGTGAGCCGAGACCTCCCAGAGGTGCAGGCTGTGGCTGAAGAGACGGAAAAGTGTGTGGCCCCGTCAAATAATAATCTTCTGAAGAGGAGAAAATGGAGAAAAAAGATGGGAAGGAAAAGCCGATCGTTGTCTGACGATGAACCCGAACGTGTAGATGATCCAGAGTTCAAATACAATCTCAAACTCACCTCTTTAGGCAATAAACAGATGTACTCACTAAGACGCAATCACATTAAAACGGAAAATTCAGCTTCCGTAAAAGTCCCTCTGAAACCCAAGAGAGAGTATCTTGCTCGGTGTGTGAAGAGCCAAATTCTGAAAAGGAAGGGTCGGAAGAAGCGATGGTTGCAGGGTCTCCCGAGGCTGGAGCAGGTGCAGACGGTTAAAAAGACCACGGTCAAAGTTAAGGAGAAGGTCATATACAAAGGGAAAAAGCGCGGACGGAAGCCCTTACAGAAAGTGGAACTCTCATACCCTGATAATGAGATATCCCGTAGAGAGGAAGAGTCTGGTTTTGAGGAGATAACTGACACAGAAGACAAAGAGCCGGGCATGCCTCACCTGGAGAATGAACTTGATCAAACGATCAAACAGGAAGAGAATCGATTTGAGCAGATGGATGATCTCCAGAGGGAAAATGGACTTGAGAAACTTCCAGACTCGGACTGTAAAAGCATTCTCGAAGAACTAACCCAAAAGGAATCTCACACACAGCTTTGTCTTTCTGTTGAACCTCAAGCTGCTGCTCCGGCTGTTGAAGCCGATCCTGAGCTCGATGGTCCTCCCTTATACTTAATAAATTGTCCAATAGAAGCGTTACACAGCTACTCTCTAAAATCCAAAAAGCCTGATGAGGAGAAACCCCCAGAATCCTCGGCACCGGACGAGGTTAATGGCAATACAGAAGAGGAGCCGAAACCCAAGGAGGAAACGGACACTGAGGTCAGTTTGTTTTTACCCTCTCAGGAATGTCATAATGCAGGCCTTTTCATTTTGGGAAATCACGTTCAGTTTGATTTGTCTTGTTGCATTATGCATTAGCAGCAACTTGCTATATTTCTGTGGAATGTGTGTGCTATTCAGGAAGAACACTTACTGCATATAAATGAGAAAAAAACATTTTATTTGACATTCTACTGGCTTTTCTTTCAATGTCATAGCACTCATTCTGTTGTCTCTTTTCTCCAGGTGAAATCCAAGAGGTCATGGAAGGACCGAATGCTGCGTACTCAACAATATGCCCACTTGATGTACCACTGCAACTTTTGCCACAAGGACTATAAAGGCTTGAATGTCATGAGGCATGCTCTCTCGCACCTTAAGAGTAGGAAACTCAAATGTATACTCTGTGAAAAGGCCTTTAAACAACTCCCCTTTGCCAAAAAGCATGTCATGGACCACATTGATGAAATGTCCAAACAGAAGAAGCGATGTACTGAGGACGCTCCTGCTGCTAATGGTGTAGCAGATCATGTGGACAATCAGCATCAGGATAAAAACACAACTTCCATTTCCAATGAGGAAACTCCTGAACCCAAACCCGCGGGGAAATGTAAAGTGTCAAGCCTCCAAAGGGAAGATCGAATCATCAGGAACCTGCGCACCCTCATCAAAAAGACAGCTGTGCTTCACAAGAAGTGCAAAAAACCTGACTCTAATATATACAGGCAGGTCGACTTCAAGGACGAGCAGGTAGTCATTCAAGATGGCCTGGTGATCGTGAAGGACCCCTCTGTGGTGGGGAGAGAGGGAGAGGAGGAGAAGCCAGCGGGGGAGAATGGCTTCAGTGTGGACATCACGTACCACCTGTGTCCCTCAGAGACCTGTGACAGAGTCTTCCTGAGGGTCAGCAGCACACTAACTAAGCACGCCATCAAATGCCATATCAGCGAAGAGAAGGTGCTGGAGAAGACCTTTGTGTGGGCCAAACACAAGTGCTCCATATGCCTCAGGTAAGAAAGACTCGTAGGATAACATCTAACATTTCCCAATGCTAGTTCTAGTGGCAATGTAAATCAGGGATGGTGAAAACTGACTTGTTAAGTGAATTTATATAGACCACACATGGCTTTTCACATGAGCAAATGTATGTTGCCTTCCGAACTTAAAGTAGCAGTTCACTCCAAAATCTATTTGTTTTATTTTTGCTCTTACTTGTAAAGCTACGTATCAATCTTAAGTTATTTTGGTGTGAATTGCTCCAGTGTTGGGGATATCAGTTGTAGCTATGGCAACTGACCAACATGTGCACAAGGAAGCATGCAGTTCCTCATGGATGAGCATCTCTTTGTCACTCATTGAGTTGATTTTGGTAGAAAGAAAATGTTTTCTACATGAAATTGCTCCCCACAAGGTCTGAGATTTATCTTGAGTAACTGGCTCATAACTTCTGCAAAGAGACATTGCTGTTTTGTCCTTCAAATCATTAGTTTTGGTTCTTTGAGCTCTATGATATTTGATGGAAAACGGGAAGCTCTGTGTCGGATGTCTCCAACACTCACACCAAAACGGTCTTGATTGATAAGTAGCAATAAACGTAAAATAGAAAATATGTATGTTTTGATTTTGGGGTGAACTGTCCCTGTGGGTACTTTTTTGGATACCGGATTAATATAATATTAATAATACAACTGTTATCTTTCCTCCTAAGGGGCCTAAAGTAGAATTTATGTCTTCATTGTTCTGAAAAAAATGTGTTTTTTCTTTTTTTGAAACAATATTTGGTTATTATCCTGACTGTGCTCTCCCCCCACAGGCAGATCCAGTTTGTGCAGCACTATAAGGACCACATGAAGCTCCACGACACCACGCTGCAGCACTTCTGCTACCATCAGGACTGTGAGCAGCGCTTCCCTTCACAGCAGGAACTAAAGGACCACGTCATCACCCATAAGCCCTTCAGACCTCAATGTCCATTCTCAGACTGTGAGAAGCTGTTCTCAAGCATTACAGGGCTCCAGGAGCACGAATGGAGACACTACATCCCAGCGCCTCAGAAAGATGAGCTGGAGATGGGACCCGGCCGGCAGATGCAGCAAAGTGCTGAAGCCCCCTGGAAGCAGAGGGTGAAAGTAGAGGAGCTGTGGCTGCAGAGTAAAAAGGGGCAGAGGGAGGAGGCCTCTAATGTCGAGGGCTCCAGAGAAATTAAAACTGAAGGTCAGCACTTCCCAGACGGCTATCAGCCGGATAACTGCCCAGAGAAAACAGTCAGTCATGAGCCTATGTGCAACACTAAATCCACCATCAATGGACATGAGCAGGAGACGAGGAGGACGGAAGGAAAGACGTCCACTGGTTCTGGTGGAGCCACTCCAAAGAAGAGCCGTCGGAAAAGAGTGCCCGTCGAGGTGGACCCGTTGAACGTCAAAGAACTGGAGGACTTGACCACTTTGTCCGAGGGAGTCCAGCGGGCAATAGGAGAGCCGCACATTACCGAGCACAAAACGTTCAAACCAGAAGAGCCCGCATACACCCCTTCCGTCAAAGCCCCCTTCATCCGGCCGCCGCCCTCCACCTACCTGGATGAAGCCCGGCTCTCCATGCGCAAGAGGAGGGCCCCCGAAGAGGTCGCTCCGAAGAAGAACACCACCTACTGGCACATTAAGAGAAATAAGGAGGAGCAGCAGGTGGAGGAGGACGTGCAGAAGGTCAGGCAGCGCTGCGACAAATGTCTCTCCTCTTTCAGCAGCGTGGAGGAACTCCAGAAACACCAAGCCCTCAACACCTGCTCCGCACTCTTTGGATTCGACTCAGACGATGAAAGTAAGTAGGCTGGATGCAGGGATCATATCAAGTAGTCTAACCTGGACGTTAGCATCCCAATGTCTCCCTCAACAAAAGACTATGCAATTGGATTTTGTATTGTGACAAACAAATAATTATAATACATACACATATTTTTTCAAGCAGGATACTCCGCATGTATCAACAACACTTTTATAATAGTTGTAGTAATAGCTAACGTTAGGCTATAAACTGACTACTTCCTGGAAACATAGCTTTGCGTCACCACTGCTAAGCTAAAGGCAGACTTGATTTTGCCCGTGATGGCGTTTAGTACGTAGTCTCATTTAGCCACTTTAGCGTTAGCATCCGCAGTTTGTATGACTCATAGAAGCTTTAGACATTCACCTGTAGGGTATTAACTCACTTGTTTTTTGTCCTAGACCATAACATGAACATTTCTTAAGCTTGCGTTCACCACACATCTTATTTCAGACGTCTAACCAAAAAAACATTTAGACGAGGGAACGGAAGTGCTGAACTCATTCCTGGGTTGTAGGACTCTCTAACCTACCGCTGGATGATCTTTGTTTTATTTGTTTAGGTTAGTAATGACTGAAGAGGAGCTGTAACCATGGTGACCACTCTACTCTGCCACCGGGCTCAGGGCTAGCATCAAGATGGAGGAAGACTCTCATAATACTACAGTACTCAAAAGAAAGAGGAGATTTGTGCCAAAATAGCTAATTTGGGGATTTGTATTTCTCTTCAACTGATGAAACCTTTTCGAAGCAATATTTTGCATAGTTAAAACTATATTTTAACACATTCTTTTCAAAATATCATATAAGTATATATAAAAAAAACTAAACCTGTGATAATTATCATGTTTTCCTCTTCAAACAAATACTATGTTGGTTACTGCATTCGTTTATTTCACCAACAGAAGGCCAATATTTGAAGGGTTGTCTTTGGCTTGTCCCGTTAACACTATCAGGTGAATGTCCATGTCGCTCATATACTGGTTAGTGAGCCTGAAAAAAAAGATTTAAACCACTTGTTCAGGTAGTTTTAATTTAAATATATTGTTTTACTCTCTTCACTAAGCCTTTATTTGATCAAGTGTGCTTTTGATTTGAATCCCTTTAAGACAAAAGGTTGCCGAAGTAATTTACTCCAGGGACAACTATGATTTACTTTACACTGTAATCTATTTTGAAGGCAAAAAAGCAGGCATTAAGAATCTGGCTTTGAATATGTTTTCTCTTCCTGACTTGCTGGCAACACTTGAAATCATTTCATTTAATGGCTTCAGCTCTTGATTTGAACCTTTCATTATGTATTTACATACAGTATGTCATGAGCAGTATTTGCAACTCTCTGAACTATTGCATCAAACCACATAAATGGATGGAAAGATGAAATGTGTTTCTTCAATGACTGTCTTCCAATCATGCACTGGTTTGAGCTTTGGTAAAAAGTGTCACTAATAATGACTAACAGTAGATATGTGGTGGTTGTACATCTATACTGTTAAACAGTATTTATTTCTAAATAAATCCTCCAAAGTAACTTTTGAAACTAAGAGGTGGATGTAGGATTTCCCGGACTGGGTTTTCCTTTGTCAACAAGTCTTCTGATTATGGTCTGACAACAGGAGTGACTTGCATATTAAAATGTCTGAAACCCTGTGATCATGCCTTTGTAAAGTCACACTATTATTCTGTACAATACGCCACATATTTATAACTTCATTAGTGCCAAGAACAAATCTGTTTTGCACTGTCGGTAGATATACAATTTAAAATCTCTGTTCACTTTGAATTTATTTTTTAATTCAGTTTAACCCCATGTTATGTATATACTTTTGAGATACTCAAATAAGTTTGTATGTGTAATCTTTTTTTATGGGACTGTGCACTTAAACCTGCTTATTTATATGTACAAATGTTAATATATTAGATTTGTAAATGGAAGGACGATTTCCCATCTATTTTTCATCAAAAAAAAAAAAAAGGGATTTCATTTGTTTGAATAAACAAATGAAACTAAACGTTGTCATTGGTTTAATATAATAATGTATTCACATAAATCAACAATCCAGTTTTCTTTCTTAGTTTCATTTGCTTCAAAAGAAAATGCAGTGAGTTTACACAGTAAAGGAGACGGTTAAGTTCAGGCATTGCATATTTATTGTTCATAAACATATTGCTTTATTGTTCACCCCAGGAAAGAGGAAATAGAATATATTAGAATTTCTTGTTTAAAAAACTTTTTGCGTCACATTTTCCTGATACACAAGGTTCTATAAAGTACAGGGAAAATCTAAATACATAAATAAAATGTACTTGTTCAGTCCAGTTTAGCCAACAAAGTGTATTTTACCATCGGTCACTAAATAATAGAGTAACAGGAACTCAGGTTATATTCTCAATCTATTGCATTCCAATAACAGGCTCTAGAGAGTTGACAGGCTGTCCGGCTACAGAACAGCTTTCAACAGTTTCCAGAGTCGTGCAGCGAATGCATTCCAGTTTTTAACACATGCTTATTTCACCATATGCTCTGGTGCTGCTTATTTTAAGGACTAAGAAACGGACACGATGTCTTTGCAAAGGAATATGGAGAGAGATGGACATGTTATACACAACATGCATCCTACAGTGCATCGATGACATCAGACACCCTAATATCGTTTCCTCACACATTTTCCTTTGACCTGAGATAAGAAAATCCTTCAATTATGGAACCAAAGGTAGGTCCTGTACAGATTTAAAGGCAGAAACCCTAAAGTAATATAATCTACACTCAAATTGCTACATTTAATTATATTCATGACTAATGATCTGGGTAATAAAACAAACAATAATTGAAGACATGAAGTTTTTCTTCACTTCCCGCAGACACCCTTGAAATATCTGGACAAACAGCCCATAAATCTCACACTGACCAACAGTTAACTTTTTTGTTTGTGAAAAACACAGTACAAACATGTCTGAACAGCATTCAGAGTTGGTGATACACATGCAAAGTGGCAGAGTGCTTCCCAAAGGGGTGTAGCTATGATACATATTTCTAGAATTCAAAATATTACTATATATATATATATATATTTTACTAAATAACTGCGCTTAAAAACACAGCAGTAGTCATTTCAAATGGAAGACCTGGATCAAAAAGAGAGGGGTGGACATCCATGTAGGCTAACATAAAGTAAGGAAGTAACAAAATAATAAAAAAAATAATCAAGCCATGCAAAAGCGCTGTAAACAAGATTTTCTTTTATAATAAATTCATTATCATAGTTTTTTTGTAAAAAGCTTCAAAGAATGTTATCTTGTTCTACAGCCAGAGGTGAAGTTGTCTTTATATTTTAATATTTAATATCCATAAGTTGGATACTAATGTTTAATTTCCACAGCTTGTAGTTTCTTTACCTGTAAAAAAGCATTTTAAACATTGGAGAATGAGGAGAATCTGCAGCTGCTAAACTTGACTGTGTAAGTTTGTGAGTTAAAAGGGCTTCGATATGGCTTTCCAAGGCAGGGTGTGTGTCTCACCTACCTCTGCTCTGATGAAATGCTCCACATAAACCGCCTGCTGAGTGTTGTATTGGACTGAAGAGGGTGGTAATCTATGACTCCCGAGTTGCTGACATAGTGTTGAGGACATGGAAGCCATGTTGAGAATTGTTAAATTATTATACAGTATGCTTTTAGTTCATTTTTGAATGTCCTTCCTAATTCAAAGGTTGAAGTGCTTGCCCAAGAAAACTCTGAAGAAATGTTACATTTTTGTAGGACAAAGTTAGATTTTCTTGTCTTACTATATACAGTATTTGGGTAAACGGTGTTTGTACTATATATCGTTATACTTGAGGAAAAAACACTAGTCTATTTTGTCATTCTTTTTCCTGAATTACAAAAGTCAGATTTCATGCGATCTAAAAATGTCCAAGTTGTGGACTTGGTTATGAAGTAGGTCCATATCCGATTTCAAGAATTTAGACCAATTACAATAAATATTATAGATTTTTTTTCTCAACACACTAAATGCAGTCTTTGGGTAGGGGTTCGATTAATAATTTGGGAAAGTTTCAGGATAAAATTGAACATAGTACAATAATAACGGAAGTCAATAACATCTTGATTTCTAAATGGCTCGATTATTGTTGCTTCAAACCAATGAAAACGTTGATGTTCAACTCGTACGTATGACATTTAAACATGGGGGAGAAGTATGACTCTATGGGACAGTGCAAACGCGCCCCTCTCACCACTTGAATGTACAGTTTGTTTTGCATAACGTCGATTTGCATGGTTGAGGACCAGTGGATTGCATTTGTGAAACACATGGTCACCGACCTTCTGGTTTCAGAGGAGATGCAGCTCAGTAGGAAGTGGACAGAAGCAGAGACACACTGGAGCAGCAGAGAGATGCTCAGTGTGTGCCGTTGGTGCTCCAGTCGTAAGGGAGGAAGATGACTTTGGTCTTCCCAGCAGATATCACATCCTGCAGGCTGTTCTTCTTCGGGGAGTCGCCCATGTGATCCAGCACCCACTTCAGCAGCTGCAGAGAGAGAAAACACAGGGTTAATGGATGGTATTTATTCACAATTATCATCGAAATATGATTAAGACACTGGCAACACTAACTTCAATTTTGTTAAAAAAATATTTGTATTGCATCATACTTTTGGTACAATTTAATACAAAAAAGTATAGTATGTTTCTACTTTAACTTGTGAAAAAATATTTCAATATTTCTTCCACCACTCCTGTGATTCCAGTTTTTGAAAAAAAGACTGCGCAGTGGTCAGTTGGGAGTCAGAAGTACCTTTTCATCCGTTCCTCCAAAGTCAGCTTTGTACCACTTGAAAATCTGACTGAGTCGCACTTCTCTTTTCCCAGAATCCACCAGGCAGGAGTCATCGTTTTCCAGGAAGGCCTCTGCTGCTGTGCGGAGCTGGCTGTCGATGTCCTGATAGGGTAGATCAGATTTGTATTCACCACATATGTTGCAGATACACTTAATCCATATTGCTGAACTCTGCTCACCTTTGGAGTGTATGTTTTGATGGGTGGGCAGCCCTTTGCTCCACAGTTCAAGGCAAAGTGAATGAGGGGCTCAGCATCTGGAAGCGCCACCTAGTGGACAACATGAGAAATAGAACATTACTCTAGTTATTCTGTCAAAACAGTGTCTATCTTGTGAATTATTTAAATGTTCTGTGATTTAACAGAATGTCTGAATACCTGTAGTCGTGGGTCTGTTTTGGAAAAGGGCCTTAATAGCTGAGCCATTCCTCTACTGTTCCCTCTCAGAACGCCATTCTCAATGTCCTGTAGTGTGAACAACTCTCCTCCAATCAGGTAGCTCACATAGTTGAAGAACTACATAAGGGACAGGAACACAATATATATTTTTAATCAAAGTACATGTATCAAATATTAAGATAACACAACCATTTATGTCACTTAATTTGCATGTTTATCTTTAGATTTCACTCTGGATGTACAATTATGTACATTATAGGAGATACTGGTTAAAATCAGCATAAAGAAATGGCTAACCTCAACTTCAACATAGAAACATTATCTAAGCAATATTGATATCTACATATTTTTTGCAGCACTATTTCAAAGTATTAAAAAACACATAAATATTTTCATATTGTATTTTCAATTACAGTGAGGACTATGGGCTATGAGGACTTCAGGAGACCCTGTAGCCTCTTAAAGTGTGGCTGTGTGACCCTACTTTGTATCTCTGCAGCATGTTGGTGGGGGCCCCCAGGCGGAGGTTCCCGTGGATGACCAAGGCGTTGTAGATGTTGATGAAGAAGGCCAGCTTCTCCTCCCGGCTGAGAGAGAGCAGCTCCACCCGCTGCAGCTGGATGGCCAGCTCACAGTACCGCTCGAAGGCAGGGTCACCTGACATGCCCTTGTAGTCCACAGACTGGTGGAGCAACAAGAAAACATACAGTACCCTGTTTCACAAATATGCACAGCTTAACAAACCCATCTCTAGGAGCCAATTAACACCGTGGGTATAAAGGTAGGAACCAATGTTCGTGGTTAGAGGTTCCGCCGGAAGGCCATACAGTTTTTGGCCACACACGGAGAACACACACAAAGAACACACACACACACACGGAGAACACACACAAACACAGGATTACAAACATTTGCTAAAGGTATTGTGTGAACCGTAATATTGTGTATGGTGAATAATAAAATGAAGCAAGTTAAATGGACACCAGTAAAAAGGAAATACATGGACTGTATTTAACTGGAAACTTGGTATCTGACTTTTATTCACCTGGCAAATGTTATGTGCGTCAATTACGCAAACATAGTGGATCCTCAGAGGCTTAAAGCGTTGGCTTAGCCTCTACACCATCAATTATATTTGCACTTATATGTGTAAAAAAACAAAGTCTATATGGCCTGCGCTCTCAAGATATTATTCAGATGCTGGTTCCTAAAGTGAGAGCAGAACTAGGTAAAAATTCAGCTCCTTCTGTCTGAAATAATGTACAGAAGGAGCTGAAACCGTCAGATTGAATCACTATGGGGAGTTCAAGTCCATCTTAAAGAACAGAGAACAAGAAACCATTGGTCGATGTGATTGCTCTTACACCCCCTAATTGAAGTCGTTTGAAAATTGTGCCAGTTTTTAAATGTTTTATAATAGTTTCTTTTATTTGCATATTGACTGGTTTTATTTCTGTTTTACGACCCCTGTATTCGTCTGCCTGTTTTGTTTTGGGTTCATTTGTTGGAACATTGTTCATGCTGCCCTCTTGGCCAGGTCGCTCTTGAAAAATAGATTTTAAATCTCAATGACACATTTACCTGGTTAAATAATATGAGTTAATATATATCATCTTTTTTTTTTGTTTGACCTTTTAAGATATAGCAGAAAAGGATAGACCTGTAAATAAACCTGTTTGTCTCCAAAACACCAAACCTCCCCTAACATTCACCTTCCAAGTGCAATAGTAAGCAGTGTATGCCATCTAATCATAACCAGTTA